TCTTCGGTTCTGGTGTATGTAGATGCAATGTTCATGCATTTTTGCTTAAGAATTTCATAACTTAAGGGCACGCGATCAATTTCATGTTTGAAACTTGACAAATAGTACTCTAGAGCCGCTGAATGATCGTTTTTTTTAAAAATTCCCGTGAACTTTAAATCGTGTTCTTGTCTCATATCTGCTTTTCCTGGTTTTTAGCCATTTTCCACAGCAACAACCACCAATGCACCATCTAGTGCAATAACAACAACTACAGGTATGATAAAATATGTATTTCGTTCGTATAATGCTAAAATTCACTTCTTTATTTTGAAAGAAGGTTTGAATCCAAATGCATCAAATATAACATGGTTAATGTCAATAACAGGCATGAACCTGTTGCTGTTATAACAGATACAACAGAAACAGTTATAACAGGAACATTCGTAACAGAAACAGTTGAGAACAGCAACAGAGTATAACAGTAGCAGTTCGGCTATCATACGACTGTCTGGAAAGTGCTTAATTACTGTCTATCTATCTATTATATATATATATATATATATGAGTGAATCGTATTTTGGTTGTACAATTTGTGGGGAAAAATAAAAGTAACTGTATGAAAAATCTGAGTCGACCAGACTGTTCCCCCTAGTTTACTGAGTACCATGTAAAAAGGTCTCCCGGCTAAGATAATAGAGATGCAATTTCCTAATGTATTAAATTAACGGTGACCCGTGATATTTTCAAAATACTTTCTAATAGAAAGTAAGTGAATTCTGCCTTGAACTATCAGTTGTCAAAACTCCAAGCTGATAAACGTGCCTGATCTTCAATTTTATCACAGGACACAAGAGAAACCATAGTTATGAGTCATTTTATTTATATCAGTGTTATTTACTGCGAGTTTATGTTTGGTTTATAATGCAATATTTTGTTGTTGTAATAGTCAGACAAAAACAACTCATAATTATCCGTCAATAGTATCCCATCCAATCCAGTTGAGACCGGCCAACTATAGAGTAAGACGGATGCAGTGGAATCAAATATTCTCACACCATAGTTATAGATAACCAACCAAATTCGTCCATATGAATCAACTGTCACTCGTGATGATGTTTCCGAAGATGCTGGCGTTGTGACGTTCAGTGCTCTTAATATCCAATCGTTACTACTGTTATACGATAGACTGTAAATGGGTGTTGCAGGATTGTAAGCTACTATATACAAGAATGTATCGTTCATTTTATAGATACTGTATGGCCAATTCTGCACCGTTGGTAGTGAATATAAAAGTGTTGTTGAAAACGGTGAAAACGATATTTGATAAAACTGAATCATACTGCAACCAACAGCTACAACCAAAATGGTATAATTTTGTAAAAATACCACTTCACGAAAATAACATGCACTCCCTGTACCATTTATACGTGCAATGAAATTTGTTAGATTTCGAGAAGAATATATGTACATTAAAGGATTTGTAACGTCGGATCCTACAAATAAAGCGCAAAAGAAACACAATGACAAAATCGTCCCTGTTTGCTTTTATACCTATAAAATAATACCCATTGCTATAAGTAAATCCTCCTGCAAAAGCTGCTAAGTTTGCTGAACGAATGACGCTCATTGTTGTTCTATTCATTTGAACAACATTACCACGATAACCAAGTACAACAAAATAATTTTGATCATCAATAGCCATAAATGTTGGACTAGCTGAGATTATTGTTGTTTGATTTGATGCTTTAATTATTGACATTAACCATGTTATATTTGATGCATTTGGATTCAAACCTTTTTTCAAAATAAAGAAGTGAATTTTAGCATTATACGAACGAAATACATATTTTATCATACCTGTAGTTGTTGTTATTGCACTAGATGGAGCATTGGTGGTTGTTGCTGTGGAAATGGCTAAAAACCAGGAAAAGTAGATATGAGATAAGAACACGATTCAAAGTTCACAAGAATTCTCCTATTTTACAATTCCTCATATCCCAAAGACAAGCAAACTATCCAGATGAGTTCATATTATAATATAGAATTGTGTTGACTTGTACGTGAGCTTGTGCTCTAACTGCTATATGCATATTTATAGTACCTGTCGATGTTTTTGATGTAGCGGATGTAAAAACACTCGATGTTGTTGTTGCACTGGATGCAGCATTGGTGGTTGTTGCTATGGAAATGACTGAAAAACAGGAAAAGTAAGTATGAGATAAGAACACGATTTAAAGTTCACGGAAATTTTCCTAATTCAACGAGAAAGAAGTTCTAACCGTAAGTATAAAAGCACACTTCTGTTTTTCATTTAACGAAATAAATCTTATCCATCGTTACAATTACATAAATCTTATCCATCTTATGAACGAATATTGGCAGAGTATCAATGTAGCAACGAGCAAAAATTAATTCAAATTTTTGTAGTCTAGAACAATTTCCTGCCAATAACATTTCCCATTTGTTTCCATTAATAAGAAAATAGTCACATGTGAGTTTCAATTGATTTACATTTGGAACTTGTTGCAGTAAAAGCTCAACATCTTCAAAGGTTATATGCTGATCTAACTGTAAGTTCAAGTCAACACAGTTCGGCAACGCTGAGTTTGATGATGGTGTTGTTACTACTGTTGTTCTATCGAAATGAGTAAATAACCAATTTGCCTTAATCGATTTAATGCGCGGTATACATGGAAATAGTTGAAGAAATTCGTCAAAGCAAAGGCAGAGAAGAGAAATAAATTCTAAACTTGTCTGTTTCGCTGCTACTGGTAATGAGAGAAGATCACAATTATTATGACTCTGAAGAACAAAGTGTTTGAGAGAGTGAAAGCTGTGATTTTCAACGAACATCAGCTGAAGTAGTCGCTTTAAACATTTATCATAATTAGAGATACGTCCCCTTGAATATGTAAAGACTCAAAGTGTGTCAAAGTTGACAGTTGTTCTAAGAGTACAGTTGAACAATCGCTCATCAAAGCACCTAAGTAGACCAGTGAAAGGCAACGCAGTTGACTGAATGCACTAATCGGCCATAGGAGGGTAAAGAATTCTTCAATCTGAAATTCTTGATAGAATTTGAACGATTTGACGTTTGCAAGGTTGTTGACTGCCGGAAGAATTACACGGGAAGAGAAGTTATAGTTTGTCGTTGTTGCAATCTTGAAATACAGCGGAGTACTTTCTGAGAGTATCGAAGTGATCTTTGAATTTAGGTTGTCAAATGTATCATACCTTACAAATTTATCATACCTGTAGTTGTTGTTATTGCACTAGATGGAGCATTGGTGGTTGTTGCTGTGGAAATGGCTAAAAACCAGGAAAAGTAGATATGAGATAAGAACACGATTCAAAGTTCACAAGAATTCTCCTATTTTACAATTCCTCATATCCCAAAGACAAGCAAACTATCCAGATGAGTTCATATTATAATATAGAATTGTGTTGACTTGTACATGAGCTTGTGCTCTAACTGCTATATGCATATTTATAGTACCTGTCGATGTTTTTGATGTAGCAGACGCAAAAACGCTCGTTGTTGTTATTGAACTTGATGGAGCATCAGATGTCATTGTTACTGTTGTTTCAGCAGTGACTAAAACATATTTTAATGGATAGTATCAGTCGCTAAGCAAACTGACTTGATACAAACCACTTGTCAGCGCTACTATTGGATCTGTGGAGCTTGTTTTCATTGTCCCGGTTGATAAAGACAGGATCTGAGCATTTATTGCAAATGAAATTCTTCCATTATCTAGGGAGTCACTGTACAACGAACATACTAGTTCATTGGGATAATATCCAGCTGTTTGACAAGATGAATAGCAAAGACATTTCATTGTACATTTGAGTATATTCGAAACAGATGAAAACGTTTTGATAAAACTAGTAGCGGAATAATATTCACTTTTTGGTATGATATTAAAATAAGCTTGCCGTATTAATGATTGCTGCTGTTGACTAACGTGTAGTAGAGTAAAAAGGATTACTAGTGGAAAAATAATTGATGCTAACATTTTGCGCATCTATGATATTTTGGGTACTCTGTATGATGTTGTCGAATGGGTTTGATTAAGGTACGAAAAAAAACTGTCCTGTTGCCTCTTTCAATGTTGTAATCCACTAAAACCGCTCCTGAAAAACGGCTAACGGTCGACCAGCATGATTAAACTAGAAGTTAATAGTAAGCAAAATTAATAATCATCAAACTGTATAGCAAAGCAGAGATATCAAACTATTCTAATTTCTTCGAACAGCGAATGATGAAAACCGTAAGTCTCTATCTTTTATTCCTCTTGAGTTATTCAAAAAATAACGACCGGCCTTGTATTTTAGCGCCGATAATAGTGCAACAAACATTAAAAAAGAACGAAAAACGAACGGAATATTCACATAGTAGAGATTACCAGTGCTGCTCTCGAAAACTGTTGACAAAAACGAGAAAACCACACTAACTTTCTTAATCTGAAATATGAAAAGCTTTGTTTTACTTAGCTCACGAAAAATCCCAAAAGTCCCAAATATAAATAATAAATAATTTTTCTGCTTAGAGCAACATCTAAATTTCTAATCAGCAAATTCGTTTTCGATAAAGTACTGATTTTTCACGCAAAATAACATTTTTTTTAGCAGGATTTATCACTTCTTTCACATCTGTCGAGAGAAGAGGGTTCAGTAAAAATTGTTCAGTATGTAACGTAGTCATAAGCGATGTTCTTAGCAATAAGTTAAATAAAAGCATAAAAATACGTTAAAGAAACATAGTGAGAAGTTATATATGCATCAATAGTGTTATCTTCTCCATCTTTCATAATGCATTAAGAAAAAATGAACGTCATTTGTTAAAATATTTCTTTTTTGTTCCATTCAAGTTGAAGGAAACATTCACACCATTCAACTTGAAAAACTGTGTGTTAATTTGAATGAAACAAAACATTGATTATCTTTCAAAAAGGTTTTTTTCTGAAAGATAATCAATGTTTTGTTTCATTTAAATTAACACACAGTTTTTCAAGTTGAATGGTGTGAATGTTTCCTTCAACTTGAATGGAACAAAAAAGAAATATTTTAACAAATGACGTTCATTTTTTCTTAATGCATTTAATTTGTTTGTAATATTTTTTGCCTAATGCGAAACATGCATTGTTGAGTATGAAACGTAACAATCTAGCAATGGTGTCGATCGAAATACCGTCTATTTTATGATTTTTTGTTTTTGAAAGAAGTCGACAAACTGCAGAAACGGACTGTTTTTGAGAATCATAGTGTATAAGTCAGTAATGCCAAAGGTAAACTGTCGGGTCGTCGGGGACACGGTGTAGCTGTCAAGATGGTCTAGGAACTGGAGAGAGTTTTCTAACGTATAGTGTGCAGTGGCTTTATTAAAGATGGGACGGAGTTTCTGGTCAAGAAAGTTTGAAAGCTTGGCTGT